ATAGAGCTAAGATTGATGTTATTAAAACCCTACCTTACCCTACTTGTGTTAGGGAAGTCCGGTCTTTCCTTGGTCATGCAGGGTTCTATCGGAGGTTCATCAAGGACWTTTCGAAGATCACCCGACCACTTTGTTGTCTATTGCAAAAAGACGTGGATTTCCACTTTGATGAGGCGTGCAAGAGAGCATTCACTGAACTGAAAGATAAGTTAACTTCTATGCTTCTCAGACGTTGGATAGTGCCCAAAGTAACTATTCAACGACGGAGAAGGAGCTTTTAGCCATAGTATTTGCTTTAGAGAAGTTTCGTCAGTATTTACTTGGTACTAAAGTGATAATTTTTTCTGATCATGCAGCTCTTAAATATTTAATGAAGAAGAAGGACGCCAAGCCTCGCCTTATCCGTTGGATGTTGCTTCTACAAGAGTTCAACCTAGAGATTCGGGATAAGAGCGGGTCGGAGAACTTGGTGGCCGATCATTTGAGCCGTTTGCTAAATGGTGAGGATCCTTCTACCTCGAAGGATGAATTTCCGGACGAGCATCTTCTGACCGTTCAAGAGACGACACCCTGGTACGCCGACTTAGTGAACTATCTAGTTACCAAGACTTTGCCAGGTACGTTGACTAGAACTGAAAAGGATAGAATTAAGAGTCAAGCAAAGTATTATGTTTGGGATGACCCTTACCTTTGGAAGCATTGCTCTGATCAGATTATCAGGCGATGTGTCCCCCAACATGAAGTACAAAGTGTACTTCGATTTTGTCATGAATATGCTTGTGGGGGACATTTTGGTCCAAAGCGTACGGCRCACAAAGTGCTTAATTGTGGCTTGTTTTGGCCATCCATTTTTAAAGACTCTTATATGTTTTGTAAGAGTTGTGATAGGTGCCAAAAGACGGGGAATATCGGACCACGAAATCAAATGCCCCAAAACCCGATTTTAGTTTGTGAAATCTTTGATGTATGGGGCATTGATTTCATGGGACCCTTTCCCGCCTCTTCTGGATTTACCTATATTTTATTGTGTGTCGATTATGTCTTGAAATGGGTGGAAGCTAAAGCCACCAGAACTGACGATGCTCGTACTGTTTCAGC